AGTGACAAAGTGGTTGCATTTGGGCAACCATTGATAGATGCCTTTAGGAACCAAAAATCTCCTAAATCGACACTTAGCAATGGAATGACCTTTCTTGCAACAATATAAGCATGAGAAGTCAACTTTAGAATTGCCTTTGCTCTCTTGATCCCTTATTACATATGTGTACTTTTGATATGGATTCACCATACTTTTTCTAAAATCAGCTTTATCGATAGCAAATGTAATTTTGGGCTCAAGAGCCTTGTTAAGTTTGGCCTTTAGGTTTCTAACTTCACCTTGCCAAATATAACAAGTATTGCATCCAAAGTTGAGGAATCTGCTAGGATCCTCACAATCCGATTTATTACTTTCCACCATAGAAGCCTTAAGTTCCTCAAGTTTCCTTTCAGACTCTTTAATTTTGTGCTCTAGGTAAGTAAAGATTCTTTTATTAGAGGCAAGTCTCTTAAAGGCTTCTTTTGCTTCATCGTGTAAAGTATTAAATGCGGCTTGTAATTCGAAATGAGACATATTTAAGGAGTTTTCATATTTAGAGTGACGTACCTATTTTTTCTTATTCTTTTGGTGTGCGGAAAGACATAAGTTCACAGATTCTTCTTCATCACTTGAGCTTTCATCATCAGAGGAGGAGTCGCTATCGCTTTCCCAAGCTATATATGCTCTTCTCGGTTTTGATGACTTCTTATGTGATTTAATAGATTCCTTTTCTTTGCCCTTTTTGTTTAAAGGACAATCCGGTTTGTAATGACCGGGCTTTTCGCATTTGTAGCATGATCCTCTGATTTTACTTCCTTTGGTGTCATTATTTCGCGAGTTCCTTGATTGCTTTCGGAAGTTGACAAGGTTATTTTCTGAGTGTTGAATGTCGTTCTTTCTCACATACCGATTGTAACGCTTTACGAATAGCCCCATATCCTCACTCTTGTCATCTTCTTCATCGTCACTTGATGAATAATCATTGTGCTCCTTAGATTGAGACTTCGAGGAGGAAGTCTTGAGAGCAATAGATTTCTTCTCAACAGTCTTTGTTTTGTCCTTCTTTTCTTTCTTTTCATGTTGGTCGAGGCTTAGGAGCACTTGTTCGTGCTCTTGTAGCTTTCCGAATAATGTTGTTAAGTCCAAAATTGTGAGGTCATTTACTTCTTTGATGGCAGATACTTTCGGCTGCCATTCCCTGTTAAGACATCTCAAAATTTGGTTAGTAGCAACATCATTGGCCACTGGCCTACCAAGTGAATGCAATCTATTGATAAGATGAGTAAATCTCTTTTGCATGTCCGCAATGGTTTCCCCTTGCTCCATGTAAAAGAGATCAAACTCTTGTGTTAGTGTGTTGATTCTAGCAAGCTTCACAACATTTGTCCCCTCATGGGCGACTTAAAGTGAATCCCACATAGCTTTTGCCGTAAGACAATGAGAAACCCGATAATATTCATTAACTCCTAACGAGGAGATCAAAATATTCTTGGCTTTCCAATCATAGTTGTATTTCTTTTCATCATCATCTGTCCATTGTGCTTCGGGCTTAGGCACAATCTCATTATTTGCATTGGTCATGGTTATTTCCATTGGACCATTGATAATAACATTCCATATTTTTCTATCTATGGAATTTATGTTCCCTCGCATACAGTCTTTCCAATAACTATAATTTTCTCCATTAAAAACGAGAGCTCTATTATAAGCCCCGTTAGGTTCGTTCGCCATTTTCTATCAAAGTTATACTCGAAGCACGGAGTGAACCGGTGCTCCTGATACCACTTGTTAGACGATGGCTTGGATCTAGAAGGGGGGATTGAATAGATCCCAATTAAAATCAGTCGGCGCTACCAATTAAAAATTGTTTTTTCAAAATATTTGTTTTAAGATTTGCGGAAGCGGCCGTGGAAAAATTACGTCTAAGAACGAACAGTTATTAGAAGACCGGATATGCGTCTAGCCTTATGGAAATTGATAATGAGCAAAATTTGATTCAACACACTAGTCACACTATCAGTTGATTTTATCACTTATTAGTAGAACTAGCACCAATGATCTATAATGCCCACAAAGTAGGCAAATGGACTAAGTAAACTTTGGTGTTGGCAATTTATCAAACACTTGGTGTGCAATACATTCCAAGTGCGGTTTGACTTGAGTAAGATGCTTTAAGTTCCTTGTGCAATGTATTATTGCACTAAAGTTCAAAACAGTAATAAGTACTTACTCAAATCAACCCAACTTATGATATAACTGCTTATACTAAAATCACTTAAATTTTAAGCCAAAATTGAAAGTGCTGAAAAGTAAAGGAGACAAAGATTTGTTGAGGCAGTTCCCCCGCCGTCCTCGCTTTGGGGTACGTCTGCCCTCAATTCTAATAATAGAATTAAGACCAATATATTAGATATCACCTGTAATGTAGAAATGTTTATACAAGAATTGATAAGCAAAATGTACAATCAAGCCCTCTTAAAGTTGATGATGCTATCGCTTCATGCTCATTGATTCGAGTTGAATCAAGTTCTCCGATTGTTGTGAGTAGACCTCCGATTCCATCCCCTTTGTTGAGTAACCTTCAGTTCTTCAAAGCCTCGGCCCGACTGATCTCGTGCACAAACAAATCGAACCCGAAACATTCTTGAACGCTTCACTGATTTTCTCTACTAGATTGACAAAGACTACCGCTTCTCAATCACCTTCACTCAGCTGAAGTAGGTAGAGATGATCCATACCGAAAAACCCCTAAAATCTCCAAATCTTGGAGGGTAAAACCTGCTAGGTTTTATCCAAGAAAAACCTGCCTTCAAAATCACCCAGAACCGAATTTCCGATCACGGCTTCGGACCTTATCACCTTGAACAAGATCACAATCACCCCAAGAATTGTTGTGTGTAATTTTTGTGTTGTGGGTTGTAAAAGATGAAGATTGATGAACTTTGATGGCACCTCTTTCACTTTTTTTGATTTGTGACAATTGACTCAAATTCACAATTGTTGTTGATAAAAATGAACAAAGTTACTATATATAGTAACCAGCCAAAAACCAAACTTAACAACTTTTCAAACATAGTGGGAAATTTTATAAAAAAACAGTACAAACGCGCGAACGGTCGACCATAGCAGGTCTATGCGTCGACGCATAGCCTGCAGATTTGGACAGATTTGAAAGGGCAGCAGTGTGCGTCGACCATAGGTCGGCGTGCGCTGACCCGTGAAAAAAACAAGAGCTTCATGCGTCGACTCATAGCTTTCCTGCGCTGACCCGTGAGAAAAACGCATATACATGCGCTGACTCAATGGTCGACTCATGGCCTGAAATTCTGCAAAAAATATTATTTATTTTGTTTTTATGCATTTAGTCATAACCACATATCATTCGTATATATTGTATTAAGTAAAGCACTTTAAATGATAGGATATGGTAGATAAAATATTTGCAGTTGTCTTTGTAAAGGCGAAACCGATAATGCCAATTCATCCATGGTTGCAATTTGTCATCATCGAAACTCAGGATCTTATATTATATAACGGTTTGTTCTCACATACACTCTATATGTGAAAGAGAGGAAAAAAATAAAATTGAAATTTATTGTCTTCTCTCTTGTAAAAAGTCATTGAATGCACCGTGTAATAAAAAGATTTTAAATATTATTATTGTTTAGAAGTAGATATGACCAACCCAATACAAATACTATATTAAATATAAACCTGGAACTCATAAATAAGATTGTGTATGACCTTAAAACTCCATATTGTAACTTAATTTATTTGAATTAAGCTTAAATATATTTTTGGTTTTTAAGTTGTTTTTTTATTTATTTATTGAAGTTTTAATCTATTCATTTTTACAAAAAAAATCACGTTTTAAAACTCCAAAATTTTATTTGTTCGGTATTTTGAACACTCACCCTATCTAAAGATAATTTCAATGATATAGGAATGTGTTATTCATAAAATATAATATAAATATTAAACTAATTAATCTAAAGACTAATGTGTCAAAAAAAAATTAAATCTCAAAATAAAACCGGGGACCAAAACTATTGTAGGAATAGAAATGAATCTTGTTAAAGATCTATAGTATACGTTGAAAAGTCAGCATGACCCATGTTATCCGCAAGGCAATTAATCAAGATATTATAGCTTAATACCAACTACTAATAAGCAACTCAAATAGGAAATACCAACCAAATTAGTTTAACATTATACTAATACACTTCAAATCCTATTCTAATTTATCTTTAATTTTCAGTACAGACAAAGGGACCACAACTTACTTTATCATAATAGAACCTTAATAAAGACGTAAATTAAAGCCCTTCTTTTTGTAGCATCCTTATCAATACTCTAATCAAAGGATAAGATAAGATTTGTTCAAGATACGTTCTAAATACTAATCACAACTAACCATACTTTCATTATCACCACTCATCTATCCAAACTTTTCTTGTTATATTTTTCATAGCATTAATGTAATTCCAACAATAACCACATCCATATCCATCTTGTGGAAAAAAAAGAAACAAAACATCATCAAAAGAAGAAACAAAAATTTGTTGATCATTATGAAGCTTTCATTACTTTGGTAGACCCACATTAGGATATGCAAGGAATATCTTTAACAAAATTCATTTTTTTAGTATGCAAATCCTAAAGGTCAATAAAGAAAATATTGATATATTACTCAAAATTTTGTTTTAAAATGATTTAATGTTGTAATAATAATTTTTTCAATTATATCTTATAATAATATTATTATAAGAAGTCATTTTAAAACGAAAAACTATTAGATTAAATGCTGCCGCCAGATATCGAACTACTCTCACCATGGTGAACAAAGTTCCGTAGGAACTAAACCCATTTATTGGTATGAGTTTTATAGTGGTTGCAAATATATAAAAAAAGAGATAGAAAGAGAAAGATACAAGTTATTCAATTCATTAACTTAGTAGTAGTTTATTTAAAAACAAAAGAATAAAAGAAAAAGCTTTATGTTAATGTTAATTAATAATTAATTAATCATCTTCATCATCTTCGTCATCCTCATCCTCATGTTCTTGTAGATCTGCAAGAGAAAAGCTTCTTGACTTAAAGCTTCTAAGTCTAAGCCTCATTTCAGCTGCATAAGATTCATGCATTCTACCATGCCCAATCTGAACTTGATCTTCTTGTTTCTTATCCTTGTCCTCTCCCAAGGAAGATGAAGATGAAGAAGATGAAACTTTTCTGGTCTTCTCCTCTTCTTCATAATCTTCATAATATTCGTGATCATAAGCATCGTCATCATCCTCGTCAACAGGCAAAAGTGGCATGGATTTAGGGTTTGACCATGAATAGAAAGACGATTTTCTCGAAAATTTGGATGCAATTAGAACCCTTCTTCTCTTGTTAAAAGGACTCTCTTGCTTTCGCAATTCCGTTAAATTGCTTACTTGTGATAGATCTGTGAATGACTTTGATTTTCCTTCAAAATGACTCGATAATCCCCTCCTAATCACAAGATTAATAAAAAATTAGCAAATTAAACAAAAACACCAACACACCAAAAACCAAAGTAGAGAGAGAAAGAGGAACAAACTTGATGGGGAGAGAGTCTTCTAAAGAATCCAACGAACCCAATCCATTTCTTGTCTTCATCTGACTCTGAACTTCCTCATCGTTGTCACTGTCATCCGGAGTCCCGATCGACGACGAACTTTCCGGCGAACCGCCGCCGAAAAACTTTTCTGGTCGCGAGATCCGAAACGTTGTTGGAACTTCATCTTCATTCATGAAGAGGCGGCGGCGTCCGTCGGTCTGGTCGGAAGGCGGCGGAGATGAAGGAACGTCGATGGTGAATGTGGGACCCACTAAAACCTCCATTTTAACCAAAAAAAAAGCTTTTTTTTTTTTAAAGAAAGAGAATTTGATTACCCTTGTCCTGTTCTTCTTTTCTTTGTCTTGGGCTTCTGAGTAAAAGGGTTATTTGTCATCAAAATTCAAAACAATTAGAAACAGTAACAATGTAACAAACTCAACAAAATGAATGAACTATGAGATTCATTGATTTGTAACAACTATTAAAAACGTTGGTGTTGTGTTTGTGTTGATGAATTATCATGAAAAAAAGAAAGAAAGAAGGGGAGAAATGAAATGAAATGAAGTGTGTTGGAGTGAAAGTAGAATGATATGATTATATAAAAATTTATTTATGAATAAAAAAATAGGATGGAGATAAATACTGAAAAATAAATAATAGGAAAATAGGAACGATGAGGTGAGGGTAGATGAGGGAGAGAGACAGAAGGGTGGTTTGACACGTTCGGAATGACGTGGCAAAAAGCTAGGCCAGATAAAATCTGTACATTGTTCATCATCATGGGTAGGGTGTCTTACTCTCATCTCATACTTATCCAGTTATCTATCCTTATGCATGTTTCCTTTTATTAATGTCATATCTCAAATGGGTGTTTCCTTATTTACTACATTTACTTTTGGGAATTTAGATTTCATTTCTTTTTTCTTTTCTTTTTATTAATAGCAAAAGTTTCCTTGAATTCAGATTTTTTTTCTTTTTATTAATAACAAAAATATTTCATTGGATTGACTAATTAAAAATATTATGAATTGATTAATTAAAAATATTGTGTATGGTTAGATCGTATTATATCATAGTGTAATTTGCGAATATTTTAAATATTTCACATTAGATTCTTGATTGAACAAAATGTGATTAGATATCCGTAATATGGTTATGCGATGAAAAACCTAATATATATTAAGTTTATGTAAACTATATTGGTCAAAAAGTACATATGTGTTTCTTCTGTAAAGGTAGAAGGACTCCAAGATCTTTGTAAGTGTAGAAAAAATAACAGTGGTTAGGGTGTTCTCACGGCGGTGAAAATCTCTGTATGATGGTGATTTTAGAGACCTGCTCACGTGAGGTGAGAGACCTTGTTATAGAGTGGTTGCTTCTGTATAAGCGCATATGGGGTTATGGTCTGTATGAATTAAGATCTGTCTCTTTCTCCCTTTAAGGAGAAGTGTTTATAGAGGCTCTTAGGCCTGGAGTTTTCTTGGAAAGGGTCATCTCACCTAGTCAATGGTGGACTATTGAATCCCTATTTCCAACGGACGCCGGTCAGTTAATGACCTTAACTTCTCTCTGTCCTAGAAACGTCTTATCCTGCATTTTCCATGATTAGGCGATAAGAAAACCTTGGGGTGAGATGATACCCTCCCTTGGGCGACACGTTTTCGTTGCCTCTCTGAGGGCGGACTACAATCTTCGCCTTACCCGGGTCCTTTTATAAATATAACACTACATTGTCCCTCAAGCACGGAACTTTTGATAAAGGACAAATTGTTTTTAGATCGTGACTCAAGCGGGTATCTTGAGGACCTGCATTTCTCATAGTGATAGTGGTGTATATCATCCTTCGACTTAAAACCACAATGGACCCTATATGTAAAGTCGAGTACTTAATTGTTGAACAAACATTTACCATAGCTAGATGACCATAGTAACAACTGATGGATACTCCACAAATCATGTTGAGGGACATGAGTAACATAGATGGGTACTCTATAAATCATATGTAATTTAATATAATTGCCATCGTCACAAGAAACTACAGGGTCACATACATAAGGACAAATTGATGAGAGAGAATAAATAAAGAACATTGTAAGGTATGAAGTACTTAATGAAGGTGTGAAAACATAAGAAAGGGGAGGTTGAATTGGGCTTTTAAAACACAAGTTTTTACCAACTCAACAATCAAAAGATTGAACAATGAGAGAGACACAAGGATCTTTATCCTGGTTCGCTTGAAACACAAAGTTAATCCAGTCCCCCCCTCCCCCCGACGCCAAGGTGATTTCGCCTTATTCACAATGACTTAATTCACTATAATCAACTGATTACAAATGCACTAGCTACAACTGGTGACTAAAAAACCACAAAGACAAATAATCAATGTCTTCTCAAGGATACTGATCTAACAGGTCCCTAAAGGAACTACAAACAAAAAATTTAAATATAAAGATGTGTGTTTACAAATTGCTTCTTAAACAAGCAGATTTACACAATTGAAAAACAAAAAATACTTACAGAAAAGTTTGCACAAAGTTGAAAGCTTTTCACGTAGAAACACTCTTTTTATTTCAGTAACTTTCTTCAAGTCTCCAACTCCCATATATATATATATATATATATATATATATATATATATATATATATATATATATATATATATATATATATATATATATATATATATATATATATATATATATATATATATATATATATATATATATATATATATATATATATATATATATATATATATATATATATATATATATATATATATATATATATATATATATATATATATATATATATATATATATATATATATATATATATATATATATATATATATATATATATATATATATATATATATATATATATATATATGTAAAACATGAAAAAGGAACAGTTGAAGGAAAAATCAAGAATAGGAAAATGCAACTGTCCACTAACGGAATAGTAACAAGTGTGATAAATAGTATTATCCTTTCGCGCACAAAAGCAGGTAGTGGAGGAACAATTTCGTTTTGTACTCTATACTATTTTGATCATGTATCCTTTATCCATATGTTCAAATTCATTGGCTTTTGATGAAGAGTTGATGAAGCATGAACATAAGAGTCACGTAGCTTGAAATCAGAATCTTCAAAATCATCAATCAAAATCTTGATAACATCAGCGTCTGACTTGAGATCTTCAGAATCTTCATAATCTCCAGCTAGAAACTTCAGAAGTTTGACTTTCTTCAGAAGTTTGATGATCAGAGTCACATCCAGAAGCAAAAACCAAGAGAACATTGCAGCAGCAATACGACGTCTTCTCAAAAACTTCTTGGAAATGAATTATTGTAGAAGCAAATTTTGATCTCATCCCTTAGTATAACCAACCCCCGAACCTTTAGATCTCTTCGCATTGTTGTTACATTGCACAACTAGGGTTTTATTCAATCTTTTCCCTTCCCTTTGGATAAATTAAAGTTCAATGGTGAACATTCAACGTTTTGCGATTCAAGTTAATACAATAACTTGATATTCAATTCTCACTGCAACACATGTTAACTCTTCTTGAGTCTTGTGAACTTAGACTCTATATGACTAACTAATTTGACAATGCAACTTGCTTTCTACAGAACAGATAGCTTCAGCTTTATCACTAACTTTGAATAATCACCAGAAGCCTATTACATTCACCAAGTGTAGAGACAATATATTGCTTCTTCTGATGTTGAGACCTTCAGCTTCAGAGTCTACGCAATACATCACTTAGAGAGTGTTTTTTAGATTCTGCACTATCAGAAGCTAGTAATTTATCTCCTCTCAAGTGCATCGTTATATCAGTTTCTGAATGTATATCTTTACACATTATAACCTACATACTTGAAACACACATCAAATAATGCCATTGTTCTTTTAATGCTTTTGTTATCATCAAAACCCAAGGATTATATATCATTGAAAAATCATGTTCTAACATATTATGGATGTCAAAACATTTACGAAAACATCTGATTTTGTTCCGAAAATTATGCAGAACTTTGTGCAACAATCTGTTTTGGATCTGCTGTGTGTTTGTTTATTTAGCCCGAAGCCCATGCTATTCTAAGGCTATTTAAAGAATGGCTCTAAACCTAAAATTATTGCAATTGTATTGTGTGAGAGAGTTTTTTAGGGTTTTGTCTGTTCATTGCTATTTGTGAGCCACTCTCGTATCACTTAGACATTGAAGTTGGAACGAGTCTTTCAATTATAATTGTGAATCACTCATAAGCTTTTAAGCAAGAGTGATTTTTATTTATTGGAGTGTGTCTCCTCTTTGATTATTTTCGTTGTCATCCATGTTATGTGATTAAGGGGGAATGAGATGGGTCTCTTACCTAGGAGAGTATTAGATAGAAATTCCATGGGTAGTAATTAGGTGCGAAGTTTGTAAATTAGAGGTTGTTTAGAACTTCAAACTAATACTATTATAGTAGATTTCTTTCCTGCCTTGGATGTCCTCAGATGTAGGTGACGTTACACTGAATTGGGTTAACAATTGATCTGTGTTATTTACTTTCTACAATTTTGTTTAAATTGTTCTTTTTTTAACTATGATGTTACAATGTCTTGACTTTGCTTTCGACATTCTGGTGTCCTGACATCGTATACGACATTTGTATTCTTGTGTCAGAATTTTAGATTGTATATATCTCTTTATTTTAGATCTGAGCATCCATTATCCAACAAAAACAAAGATCTTTGTGTTAGATTAGAGTTTCTTTTCAACACACCCCTCACATCCAAGACTATTGGATATGGGCGTTGATGTAAATGATGATTATCCTATAACGAAAAAGCAGAAGTCCAACCGATCTTGAATATCCTCTGATACCATTTTAATAAATATGATGCCCTTTTCCATTATCTTTTTATTTTCATTTCACCCGCATCAAAATATCAGCCAGGGGAGTTTTAAATATGCGTCAGAAAATGCACCAGCAAATTCTTTTCCAACTACTACTACAACTCCTCTGTAACCGGCTAAGTCCTGTAGCTAGAAAGGGCACATGGGAAAACCAAAATTGATTATCATTTTGTCGAATATGAGAGCATTAACGCTACATTGACCAGTAAATGGGCATGCCATGTGCATATGGGGAGAACGTTCTGTTCATGGCGAAGCTAGTGCAGTGGCCAATCACAATAGGAGACTTTTTTTTACGACTTTACCAACTATAATCAGATCAAGAATAATTTAAGTTTTATTGGTTCGAACAATATCCCAAAGAGGCATAATATAA